ATTAAATTTTTTCTAAGTATGAATGGTTCCTGTGAGGGACCGAACTCTTGAAGAAAGGCCGAGCAGGGCCAAAACTTCTAGAGTTATTAAATTTTTTCTAAATGTGAACGGTTCCTATGAGGGATCGAACTCTTGAAGAAAGGTCGAGCATGGCCAAAACTTCTAGAATTATTAAATCTTTTTTAAGTATAAANGTGTGAACGGTTCCTATGAGGGACCGAACTCTTGAAGAAAGGTCGAGCAGGGCCAAAACTTCTAGAATTATTAAATCTTTTTTAAGTATAAAAGGTCCCTGACCAGGGACTGAGCTTTTTGAAGAAAGGCCGGGCAGGCCACAACTCAAGAGCCATCAAGTTTTTTCTAAGTATAAAAGGTCCCTGTTAAGGGACTGAGCTCTTTGAAAAAGGGCCAAAACAAGAGTTGTAACTTCAAAGGCTATCCATACTCTTCTAAATTAGGAAATCAAACAAAACAACTTAGACTTAAAAAAAAACACATTTTTTCCAACAAACAGAAAGGCCAAAAAAGCGTTTTGCATTCATACTTCAAAAATGTTTACAAGATCATGATCATTGAACGTTTACATCAGAAGTTGTAAAAAGACAAATTTCTTGAATGTTTCAGGAGGCCAAAGGTTGAGAAGAACTGAGAAGAGAATGCCTTGACAAGAGCTCTGATGAAGTTAGAACCCCTATAGCAATTAAAGCAACATGTCAACCCTGACTGAAGCATGCATCTCGAATTTGGGGGATCTGCAGAGCAAGGTCATTTTCTACTTTTTCAACTTCCTCATCATAAGAAGCGTCATCCTTCTCCTTTGCCTCTGCTTTGAATTTGTCAAATTCCTCCAATAGATTGGTATAATCAAGTTGAGACTGGAAAAGTTCAACATTTGCTTCATGTTCAGAGTCTTTGAGTTGCTCAATCTCAATCTGAAGCTTTAGGTTCTCCTCGGTTAGGCTTTGGTTTTGAGCCTGTAGAACCTTCACCTCTTCGCAGAGTTTGACATACTCTTCATCCACACTTTCTTTTTTGGCTAGGGCTAATGATCGAGCGTGGATAACATCCCTCATAGCCTTATCTGTCCTTGCTATCCAAGCTCCGACCTCATGAACTTTTTGCAGACCCTTAAAGTAAAAAAGCAGAAGACTTAGAAAAATCTTGTTAAAAGGAAAAAAGCCTGAAGAAAAGGGAACAAGTCTTACCAGGACCATATGTTGAATTGCTTGACGAGACACTTCATCGTTAGTAAGAGCCTCATTCATTGCCAGATCCCAAGGCAAAATCACCCCTCGGGCAATCCCCACTACAACATTAAAATCTTTTATTGCAGAGTCCTTGACAGTAATTCCNGTTATCTTTCCTTGCTATCCGAGCTCCGACCTCATGAACTTTTTGCAGACCCTTAAAGTAAAAAAAGCAGAAGACTTATAAAAATCTTGTTAAAAGGAAAGAAGCCTGAAGAAAAGGGAACAAGTCTTACCAGGACCATATGTTGAATTGCTTGACGAGACACTTCATCGTTAGTAAGAGCCTTATTCATTGCCAGATCCCAAGGCAAAACCACCCCTCAGGCAATCCCCACTACAACATTAAAATCTTTTATTGCAGAGTCCTTGACAGTAATTCCCTATTTTTGGCCCTAAGGATTGGTCGGAAGGGAGGATTGAAAAACTCAGGTGGAAGGCTCACTTCAGACTCGGCTGTCCTCTGCCTTTTCGGGGTAAGGTCCTCAGCAAGTTCAAAAATTGAATTGTCTTCAAGTATGGGAGAAAGGACAGAATCCGGAGGATCAAGCTCAACTGGAATTANTGAAAGACTCAGGTGGAAGGCTCACTTCAGACTCGGCTGTCCTCTGCCTTTTCGGGGTAAGGTCCTCAGCAAGTTCAAAAATTGAATTGTCTTCAGGTATGGGAGAAAGGACAGAATCTGGAGGATCAAGCTCAACTGGAATTGAAGTTTCAATTAGCCGAGCCATATCTACTTGGCCATTGGTTGGCAGATCAGCATCATTAGGAAGAGGAGTTTTAGTTAGAACCTTAGGAATGGGTTCCTCAAGAACAGAAATTGGAATCACTGGAGTAGTTGGAGTCAGCTAGGTGGAAGGGGTCGATTCAACAGCTGATAGAAAATTAAGAAATTTTTTTACCGTCCTGCGCCTAGAGGCTACAAGGGAAGACTTCTTCTTGACTCGAGGAGTCTGTTCTCAAGCAGTTTGGATTGCCTCCTGATTTGCGGCCAGAGTGGCGTTGGGTCGGTTCGGTACGACAATCAATGATGCGTAGGTTAGAGTGTACCCAAGTAACGTATGTGTAGCTCAGCAGAACAGAGACTCGTTAAAATCTCAAACTCTTTTGAGCTCGTCCATCTTCACAGAGGACTCAGGAACTCTACCCTTAACAGTTTCTCCTGCACTCAGAGATATTGAATCAGAACATGAAAAAAAATAAAAAATAAAAAATAAAAAAATGATGAAGAGAAAAAGATTCAGATACCTGGAGCGTCTGGTAGGGGCCACGATAAGAAGGGGTGGCCTTGGTAGAGTACTCTCAATTTTCGAAAACAAACACAATGTCATTTTTCATGACCCTTGTTCGAATCTGGGAGATGGGTAAATAGGTAACGATCCTTCTTCCTCACANTAAAAAAATAAAAAAATGATGAAGAGAAAAAAGATTCAGATACTTGGAGCGCCTGGTAGGGGCCACGATAAGAAGGGGTGGCCTTGGCAGAGTACTCTCAATTTTCGAAAACAAACACAATGTCATTTTTCATGACCCTTGTTCGAATCTGGGAGATGGGTAAATAGGTAACGATCCTTCTTCCTCACATCCAAATAAAAGTTATCTCCAACAACCTTGATTATGTAGCAGTACAATATTTTCCATAGTACCAAGCTCAAGTTAAAGTAGCCACACCCATCATTATTCTAAAGAAGTTGGGGCAGCACTGGATTAGGCATAACTTCATGGCAGACAGAAACCAAAGGAGTAATGGGTCAAGAGCAAAACGCACACCGCCTTCGGTGATCGCTCGAGTGTATATTGGGATCCTCTCCCTCAATCCAATCACAGATTCATCTTTACCAGCAACCTTCACCTCGACGTCCTCTTGAATGTTGTATTTGGTTTTGAAAGCAGGGATTTTAGAGAGTGTGAGAGGGGCTATCGAAGAAGATAAAGTGCAGAGATAGAGAAGATACATGACAAGAGATGGTTTTGGAGGCAAGAAGACAGATAGAAGGAGGTACGAAGGGAAACTATTTATAAAAGAGAAGAATTCTAAAGGGCAATATTTAAATGCTAAAAGTGTGCCGCCAAAACTAGGGGGATGACACAGAAACGCGCAATGCTGATGAAAGGGCAAAAAATGGTTGACAGACGAAAGGTGTCTGTCAGACGTTTTCTGGGGGCAAATGAAAGGGCTGACCCCCATTATTACACATGTTATGGTGTTAAATGAGCTCACGTGAGGTTGGCAAGGCAAGTCATGAGATGAAGAATCCTCGATTAAGTCTTTTAACCAAGCCAAACTAATAAGAGGTTCGATAAATAAAGAAGAAGTTTGGTTCTCTTTATGACCGAGCTCATCAATCTGTACAGAAAGAGTTCGGCTTGTATCAAGACAAGTTTATTAAAGTGTTCGGGAAGGCGATTTAAGAGAATGGTTTGTGTCAAACCAAGTCTCTTAATCTGTTTGACAAACATCGAGTGTGCTCGGCATTCGATATGTCCGAGCTATTTCAAATGATAGACAAAAAGATAAAGACTCGCCTATAATTTAGGCAATCAGATAAACGAATCAGCGAAATTGAAGATACCAGGAGGAAATATTAGAGAAANAAAAGATAAAGACTCGCCTATAATTTAGGCAATCAGATAAACGAATCAGCGAAATTGAAGATACCAGGAGGAAATATTAGAGAAATATCAGTAACTTCTCAAACTGAATCATTGAATTGAAGGAATGTGTGTCACCTTGAATCAAAAATCATAAAAACCATAAAGGAATGACCATCTATAAAAAATAGAAAAATTCAAAGTGAAAAGTACGCTGAACTCTCTTAATCTTCTTCCATTCGTTCTAGTATCTTTATTGACTTAACTATCGAAATGCTTTCGATCAAAACACTTCGATTTTGGACAGTTTGTTCGTTTTATAGATAAGAGAAGACTGAGAGATTTAGTTCATAAACACATTAATTTTTTAATTCCTGTGAGAGGTATTCTCAATTTTTTGTCTGCATTTAAAATAAATTTCTCACCCCAATTTACGACCGCGGATAACTCTGAATAAATAATATAATTTAGTGACCGAATAAATAATTAAACTCTTATTCAAACCAAGTGTTCAGGGGTAGGACAGTAATTACATAATAAGACTTCAATGATGCAAACAAGTCAAAAAGCAATTATGACACGTCAAAAAGCCACTATCAAACGTCAAATAGCCATTGAGAGGGTCAAACCGTGATGTTTTTTCAAATGATAAATTTCATTTACATCCCTTTTAATTATATCTAAATTCAATACTACACCACTTGGAATAGAAATTTGATTATAAAATTAGGGATGTAAAGCATTACCCTCTTCTATTATACGAAACATTTGTTTAAATTTTTGTGAGAGAACTTTGATGTACGTTGTCGTGCAGTTGCTTTTTTTTTTTTTTAATTTATTTTACATAGACCTTTTTTAAACGTAGTCTTATAAAATAAACCACGAAATATTTTAAGTATGAAAAATTACGTTTAGCACCACAAAATTATCATAACTATCAAAATTTGAACTAAAATATTGAATAAAAAAATTCAAATTTTTATCAGCGAAATCAAACAACTTAGGGATGAGCACATCACAATAATAATGAACTAGACTGAAAAAAGATTAGTTGTAGATAAATGCTGAGGTGGAGAAATGGAGTTGTGTGTCACAATTTTCAAACATGGTCCACTATACTATTACCTTCGTACTAAACTAATCTGCACCTCATTGACCCTAGGCGCACTACGCACCTCCTCCTCTCATTCTTTTCAAAACTTTCCAGCTCCTCGAGGTCTGGACCTATGCGCTCTACGCACTTTGCGTATTCAAGTTTTCTTCTCTTTCTCTCTCTTTCTCTCAGTGGTTAAATCTGCGTTGACTGAGATAATACACCCCTGCTTGTTTTCTCTCTCTTTCTCTCTCTCTCCTCTCCTCGAGAAACCGATAGATTTGTACATCTATACATCTATACGTTTATAAAGTCCCAAAGTTGTTATAATTTCGCCGGAATTCTTTGCCCGCCGTTCACCGCAGAGCTTCTCAGATGATATACGGTAAACCCATCGGATAAGTTATTCAAGGTTGCGTTATTTTGAGTAGAAGGTATTATTCTTTAAACCTGATTTGGGAATTAGGGTTTGAAAACATTAGGGTTTTTTGAGCTGATATTTCTGGGTTTGGTTGTATTTCTGGATTAGAAATGGTGGTTTTTAGATATTTATCCGATGACGACGATTGTTATGTGTTCAGATGAAATTAGGGCCTTTTTGAGCTCCATATTTGTCTGGTTATCTGTTTTTTGGTTAAATTATTGAGATCAGTAGCTGGAGCTGAGCTGGTGTTATTGTGAAAGATGGGGAAATACTAGGGTTTTTGAAGTTCTCTGTCTTCTTTGGTGCCATGCTCTTTGTTACGATAATTGGTTTTGTATATAATTTACATATGGAGGTATTTAGATCGGTGGCTGATGGTGATTTGTGATGTAGGTGGGTGTTTTTGTGGATGATCTGTTTTTGGTATTCTTGGTTGTTTATGTGGATTCATTATGAAGAGACTGAGGTCCAGTAATGATCTTGACTCATTGGGAGAAAAGGGTGTTTGTAAAGATTTGGTAAGGAGGGAGGAGGAGCTACCTTTGCATCGTTCTTCTCCTCACCGGAGCTTCTATTACAAGTCTGAAAATGGGAGGAAGGGTTTATCTCATTCGTCTTCTCGGTATGACAGGATAGAAGATGACCGTGAGCTTTCGAGGCCATTAAGAAAGCGGTCGGATTATGATGTGGACAGTTATGAGAGGAGGAAGAACTATGATCGATATAGGGATGGTAGTGATAGGGGGGTTTTGAGCTCTTCACCGCGGAGTGGCCCGAGTGGGTATGGTGCACATAGGATTCATCGGTCTGATAGTTTTTCTGCTCCGAGGAGGGAGTTTCCAAAGAGGTTTAGATCGGAAAGGGATCGTTCCCGGCGAGAGGGGAGTGATTCTTCATGGCGGAGGCTTGGTGGCACAAAAGATGTCGAAGAAGGTACAAGAAGTGGTGGTGAGTCAGGTAAAGGAAGTAGAGTTGCATCAGATGATACAGGGAAAGTGAGATCTCCACAGGCATTGAGAGAGGCCACGTCACCACCCTGGTCGAAGGACTCTGGCAGTGAGCAATCGAAGAGTATTGATGTGAAAAAGAGTGAGGATTTGCCGGTAGAGAGTGGCAATAGTAGTGAAATGGAGGAAGGGGAGCTGGAACCAGAACCAGAACCAGAACCGGCAGCTGAACCAGTTTCTGTATTCAAGCATGTAGCTGAAGATCAAGCTTCAGTTGGGTTGAATTCAAATCAGGAGCTTGAGAGCAAGGATTATGCTGAGGAAAAGTCACCTTTTAAAGGAAAGGCGGAGCTCAATAAATTGTGTGTTAGTGAGGAGAGAGAAGAAGTTGTGCCATCAGAGGCTGTTACACCTGTGGGGAGGCAAGTTGACAAGTTACCAGATTGCCAGAACTCTCCAGTCCCCGAGACAAGCTGCAACAGAGGTGTAATGGAAACCACAACAGATAGTGAAGTTGGCAAGGATGAAGAGTATGCCAGGGAAAATAGCGGATGTATGGAAAAAGAAACTAATACATTTGCAGAAATGTCACAGCCTTCAGAATATGAACAAAAGAAAGACAATGGTATAGATCTTGAAGTCAAGGTGGAGGATATCGATATGCCTGAAGCAAGTAAAGGGTCTGGTGAGGGAAGTGGAGCACCTGGTGGTGTTTCTTCACTGCTGGTAACAGAGGAATTAACCCGAAATTTCAAGGATAAGGGTAAATGTGTGGCTCTTTCACCCACTAATGCCATTGATTCTGCGAATGATGGTTTGAGGATTGAAAGAGAATCGAAAGGCCTCTTAGCTTGCAGGGACAACGATGTGGGAGAACCAAGTACCAGAGGCTTTGAGTTCTTCTTGACCGATTCTATTAAAAAGCCGGAGAAAGTAAACCAATCAGATCAGAACAAGCTGAAAGATGAAAAGCTGGCACTTGAACTTTCTCTTAGCTTACCTAACATTTTATTACCTATTGGTTCCCATAACACCACCCAAGCTCCTGGTTCCCCCTGTCATACGAGGAGTGTTCAATCCTTTTCAAGCACATTTCTCACGAATTCTGATGGATTTACTGCATCAATGTCCTTTTCAGGTTCTCAACACTTCACCCACAACCCTAGCTGTTCCTTGACACACAATTCGTTTGACAATAATGAACAGTCTGTTCATAGTCGCCCCTTATTCCAGGGAGTGGATTGGCAAGGTCTGTCTTCAAATGGAAACCAAGAACTTCCAATTCATCAAATATTATCGATGAGCGAAAACGGCATCTATCATCAATCTCAAGCATCTCAAGGTATTTCAAATGGTCAAGCTGCACAAGTACAAAATCTTAGAGATGTAGAAAAGGGAAGCTCTAGAATGCCAATTAGATTGGATCGGCAGTTGAGTATTCATAAACACTTGTCAGGAGCACATTCGGGGCATCAAAATGATGTTCGATCTGCTTCACTTAGTGTTGGGTCTCGTGAAACTGGTTCAGAATATGGTAAAAACAAGAAACAGTTAGTTAAGGAGAGGAGTGGCGGTGGTTTATGTAAGAGCAATAATCAAGATGAGAAAGAGCGACTGTTGGCTGTTGGAACTGAATTTGTCGAGCCAATAATCAACATGATTGTCTCTGAACCACTACACGAGATGACTAGGAGATTCAATGAAATGACCGGACAATCTGTTGCATGTTTAAAAGAATCTGTCTGTGAGATCATTTTGAGTACAGGTAAGCAGTGGCAACTACGTGCTTTTCAGAAAGCACTGCGAAGCAGGTCGGACATCACCTTGGAGATGCTTCTGAAGGCCCATCGAGCTCAGCTGGAAATCTTGGTTGCTTTGAAAACTGGTCTTCAAGAATTTCTTCAGCAAAATTATGATATATCATCTTCTGATTTGGCAGAGATCTTTCTGAACTTAAGATGTAGAAATCTCAGTTGTCGGAATCTTTTGCCCGTGGATGAATGTGATTGCAAAGTTTGTGCCCAAAAGAATGGTTTCTGCAGTGCTTGCATGTGTCTTGTATGCTCCAAGTTTGACATGGCATCTAATACATGTAGTTGGGTTGGATGTGACTTATGTCTACATTGGTGCCATGCAGATTGTGGGTTGCGGGAATCTTATATTAGAAATGGACGTAGCGACACAGGGGATGGAGTAACAACAGAGATGCAGTTTCATTGTGTTGCCTGTGATCATCCTTCTGAGATGTTTGGGTTTGTGAAGGAAGTTTTTCAAAATTTTGCAAAGGAATGGACAAGGGAAACTCTTTCCAAGGAACTTGAATATGTAAGAAAAGTTTTTTGTGCCAGTGAGGATGTGAGAGGGAAACAACTTTACGAGATTGCAATTCAGATGCTGTCAAGATTGGTGAATAAGTCTGACCTTCAAGAAGTTCAAAATCATATTATGGGTTTCCTTATGGGTAAGTACTCAATTTGACGAAGAACTTTACTGATTTGCTAATTAGTTTGGAACAATTGCAGCATTTGGAATTTGAAACTTTAAAAGCTTCATGCCTTTATTTGGTGGTTCATTTGATTTCTGTTGGATAAGGTGGCTATGTGCAACCGTATCATCTCGTATTCTCAATTACTTTTCTGACTTTGTAATGATCAATATCTTTTATTGATCTACTGCTCTTTTTCAGTTCATGGAAAAATGAAACATGTGAAGTTGTTAGTCATTTGAGCATTTTTAAGGTTTAAAGCATGATATAATAGTTTTAGGTCTGCTGGGCATGAGTACATGGGGAAAACACATATTTAACATAATTTGCCATATATACATACCCACATGGACACCATACACACTTGCTGCATGGGACCTTGATGGTGATCTGCAGTATATTACGATTGCCTAACTGAATATTCTTTGCATTATTCCTGGTTTGTCGTATTTCCAATCACTTTTTACTTGTTTTACGTGAAAAAAAATAGAATAGAAAATCAATCAGAGTGTGGATTCTTCTTGGTTCCACACTAATAAATTGTTTAATGATATTGGGGCAATTATATCAATGTATCGAAGTCAAAAATTGATAGAATAGAAAATTAAGAAGAGTGAATTCTTCTTGGTTCCACACTAATAAATTGTTTAATGATATTACGGCAATTATATCAATGTATCGAAGTCAAAAATGTATGTTTTAAATGTCAGGAGCCTGTATACATTGGGAATGAGTCCTTGACCAAATTCAGGCTGGAATTTCTGTTGAAAATATTTCATCGGTCTCTTCTCGAGTAGAACCTGTGGTTGTTTGGATTATTCCTACTACTAGGACTCCCCTTTTCGTGATTATGACGAGACTTTGCCATGCAAAGAATGTTTAAAGCAACTGCATTTGAGATGATTGTTTTGTATCTTCCATTAGTTTTGTATTTTGTTTTTATGCTGATTATCATTATGAATTGCTTTCTTAAAGTCATTATTTTCTTTATTGTATGGATTTTTGGGCTCAATGATCACAGGAACTTGTGGACCATTCTGTATAAGTGGCTTTTAATATTATGCTTGCATTGTGAATTCCAATTGCCACTTTATGCTCTTTACGCATCACCAAAGGGTTGAAAGAAGGGCATTGATATACCACTAGTTTTTTATGTTATTGGATGAATAAGGGATGGTGAATTGAAAATGAGTCATCACTACTTATATGGAATCATTGCATGACTTTTGCGATGGCCATGATAGAATTGTCATTCCATCTATAACATATAGCGGCATGTCTATCATCTTAATCTTCAGCTTTCGTGGATCTGCAATCCAGACCAAAATGTTGTTGCTAACATCTCTCCTTGTGATTGCAGGAAGTGATTCCTTAAAGTCTGGCAACACACACCTTGTGTCTGTGAAGAAACAATCCATAAAGAATCTTGGAGAAAGCAGCAATGGTATTGCAGGGTCCAGCCAAGAAGCTGCGTGGGTAAAATCCATGTATGCAGAAAAGTCTCCTCAAGTGGAAAAGGCTGCTAATATACCTACTAAATTTGATCCCACCCAGAGTGGTATACACTCACTGAACTCAGATTTACAAAGGAGTGCTCGAAAAGAACCTGTTTTTGATGAATTGGAGAGCGTTGTGAGAATCAAACAGGCAGAGGCCAAAATGTTCCAAGCACGTGCTGATGATGCACGAAGAGAAGCTGAAGGTTTAAAGCGCATTGCAACTGCTAAAAATGAAAAAATTGAAGAGGAATATATGAGTCGAATCACAAAATTGCGTTTGTCTGAGGCTGAGGAACTGCGCAAGCAAAAATTTGAGGAGCTCCAGGCTATAGAAAGAGCTCATCAGGAATACTTGAAGATGAAGACAAGGATGGAAGCAGATATTAAAGACATGATGTTGAAAATGGAAGCTACAAGAAGGAATCTTTCTATGTGATTAAGCAGCAGGTTCTTTCTTCAGTGCCCTCAGCACCTCTGGTAATCTTACCTTTTGACCCTCGTGCCTATTGTATCTCGTGTTGTAAGAATAGACTCCACTTTGTGTTCTCTTATTTGTAGATGTATCTTCCAATGTAGTGCCCTTTTTATTTTTGTGCTGCTAACCTTAATCTGTACAGGGACTTCTCCATCTCTTTATTGACAGAAGTTTCCAGTTATAGACATCAGTCTAGACTCAGTTAGGAAGGCCATAGGTCCAATATGCTTTGGGGGTGATTGTTGGCATCCAGTTTCGTATAGAAACTTGGCAGTGGTCTTTGATGGATAAACAAACTATTAGTTTTTATTGGGCATAAATTGATATGTAGTTATTTATTATTTGTGAGGAACTCTGATGAATCTACCTAATGGAGGACAATATTCAAAAATTTTGCACCAAAATGAGTTTACGATAGTTTTTACTCTTCTTTTTGGTGGGTTTTTGTGTTTGGGGTGGGAGAGATAAGAGGGGGGGGGGGATTGAATATGAAGATATTTTCATTGTGTAATATGTAAAAAGAATGTCTGTTCATTTCTTTGCTTGACTGCATTATGTTTAATCAAGCCAACAGAGTTCATAGGAGATGCTGGCGTATAATTGGGAAGAGAAATCTAATTGGTTGCAGGTGAATTTTCCATGGTGATAGCATTTGAAGTTTGGTGAGTCAATTGATCTGGTACAGACAAACTTGCAAATATGATCCTTGGGTACTTGTATGTGCTAATCATATATCAAGGGTCAGGAAGATGTGATTATTGTTTTACCAGATCATGGAAGTTTGAGGCAAATTGTACACTTCCTTAAGGAGTTTATTATTTTACGAAATCATGCAAGTTTTGAGGAAAATGGAAGAAAAAGTGTATGCTTCATCAAAGAGTAATAGGACTAACTTTGAATTTGGCCAGAAAATGCCACACTGATCACTGAGCTTTTGAGGACCGTTGGCATGAAATCTTTACTTGGAATAGGCAGCAAGGAGGAGATACTAAGCAATAGAGGGATGCAGGGGAAGGGGTGGTTCTTCGTATATAGTTATGAGAGAGAGAGGTCTTTATTTTCCTGTCACTTGTCTAGTTGAAGTATTCTTGGGATTGAAATTGAGATGCCTTTAAATATTTTTTTTCTCTATTTTTCTTCTTGGCAGTTCATTCACCATTAACAACTGAGGGATATACTTAGACTCATTGATTGAAAAATATAGGGCCAATACATCTAGCTGTTCATGACTGTCGGCATGAAATCTTTAGTTGGAATAGGCAGCAAGGAGGAGATACTGAGCAATGAGAAGGATGTAAGGGAAGAGGTGGTTCCTCCTATACTTACGAGAATGCTGAAAGAGAAAGAAATGTCTTTATTTTCGAGTCACATCTCTGTTGTAAGTACTCTAGGCATTGTGATCTCTTTCAATACTTATTTTCTCTATTTTTCTTCTTGGCGGGTTTATTCGCCCTTAATCATTTGGATTTAATGATGTCTTGTATGAAGAAGAAAAATGGAAACAAAAATATATCGGAGTAGATTTCATTCCGTATTTTTGTACACACCCTCTGTAGATAAGTTTAACTTAAGTGACAATTTTTTTCCGATTTTGAAATTTCACTGTTACAATTTTTTAGAATTTGTCTACTAACAGACCTAATGAGAAAACTTATTTTACCACCTTCCTTTCAAGTTCTACACTATTTTACATATTAAGTGTCTTTAATTTATAGACATATACATATACATACATACCAAAATCCCTTTGGTATGAATATGATTAAATTAAATATTAATTGGATTAAACATAATATTAATTTGATGAAATTGAATACCAATTTAGTGTTAATTTAATAAATAATATTAGTTTGATAAAACAAAATATTAAATTTATAAAATTGAATGTTAATTTGATATAATTGAAAGTTAATTTGGTGTTAAATTGGAGAAATGAAATTTATTTAGTAAAATTAAATGTTCAATTCATAAAATTTAAAAAATGATGTTAATTTCATAACTTGATTGTTAAATTGATGCAATTAAATGCAAATATGACAGAATTAAATTTTAATTTGATGTTAATTAAATAAAATTAAAATTTTAATTTGATAAAATTTGGTATTAATTTGATAAAATAGAATATCGATTTGATGAGATTAAATGTTAATTTGCTAAAATAATTTATAAAATTTAAGATCAATTTCATGTTAATTTGATGAAATTTAGTGTTGATTTAATAAAATTGACGATGATTAAATTGAATATTAATTTGTTGGCAATTTGATGAAGTTTAATGTGATTTTGATAAAATTAAATATTAATTTGATGAAATTAAATATTAACAAGATAGATAGTTTAGTGGTGTGTGTAAAATAGGTAGGAAGGAGGGAGGATGTGCTGCAAACAGCAGTGGTGTGTGTAAATGGAGGCAGATATGGGATGGGATGGTCGTGAGGGAGTTGGGGGTAAAATTGACATTTTTGAAGAAAATGACGATGACATCACTCTTTTTTTTAAATTGTCAGTAATGGTTTGTCATGGCAATGGGTGGGGTTGGGTGTACTTGAAGTGGATATAAATAAAAACCAGAAAAGAGTGTGTAAGAAATTTCAGAATTGGGACAGAGTGTGGGGGCAGAAATTAAGCTTATCTACAAGGGGGGTGTAGATGAAATTTATCCAATATCTTATCTATGAGACTTAAAGGTGTTACTCTCTTATCTTTCATTGTAAAAAAATTATTTATTATATTATCAATGAATCGAGTTCCATGGTAACAAGTCGATTGACAATTCTTAGGCTTCGTTTCAAAGCTATTTTTCTCTCAATCACCAAAGCTACTGTTCAAAACTGTTCCATGAATTATAATGTGATTTCTTGCATTTAAGTGGGTCCATCATCAATACACGGGAGCTATCCATCATCGAGTAGAATTGACAGAAAAATGTATTGGAGAAGATTCAAACGAGATTTTATCCTATTACTTACAAAAATTACCCCATAATCACTGGGGGCCGTATGGTAGGCTAAAGTCCCTTCCTCAGAGAGTACTGAGACTGAATTTTGAGTTTCACCAGAGAATTTTATGCTATTGTTGGATTTTGAGGCTTACTATGTACAAGTATTCTTATTCCCTTTTTGGACAAACTTGAATGCAGTTCATAGTGCTAAAGACGATTAATGAATAAGATGAAGTCCAGAAACGCAATTCAGTTAACTCAATAACAAAAGGTGAGAGATTCTGGTAGCTATGCCAGCAGACTATTTACAGCTTCTCAAGAACGAATTCATTGATGACTGCCAAGCAGTGGAGGAAATTGGAAGCCGGTTTTCCTCTTTGCCTTCGATCTGTTCATTCTTGCAACATGAAATGGATCGCCTTCGTTTGGTTTTCCTCTTCGATTTCATTTGCTACCTTAGATTATTGGCAGAGTGATGCCTAGTGCATCTAATCGAAGAAGAGGGTGGAGCACAAAACCAAAAACACAACAGAAGTCTATTTTGTAGATATGGAAAGCTGAGTGAAATTTGTTTTGCTTATACAGTTAAGTCTATGCAAATTATCTGTTAAATCACTGCAAGGATCATTTCCATTTCTATGAAAATACTAAATCACTGCAGGCTTAAACAGAGCTGTTATGTATAGTAGCAATCATACAAATAAGGTGTAAATTAGTAATCCTTTTTTTTAATACAATCACTGCATTCGCAACACTTGTGTCTATGCCTTGATATGAAATGAAGTACAGGAAATGAGTTCTAATTCCCGTTTCTCACTAATTTTAGTGATCTAGCCTGAACCAAGAAAAGACCGAATCTTCATCTTCATTGAATTCAGAATCATCAGTGGCTTTATCGGCTCTCGGAATCACTTAGAACATACCTTGCCTTTCCACGGTTCACCCTCTGTGGTCTAGCTCTTGGAGCCACAGCTTCATTCATCTCTTCAGCACTGTCTGAATTAGAAGCTGAGCTCCCTTGTTGTTTTTCACTTTCCAGTGCAATCCTTTCCTCAGCTTCTTTACCAATCCTTCCCAACATGGAACCACTTTTCTTGTTGAATGGAGATGCTCTCATCTTCGTCACCTTTTTCTGAGGTGAGGTGCCTGAATTCTTCTCTGCAAGCTTCAAAGACTTCCGTTATCAGTTTCTGTCCCGTTAACTGAGATTGCTTACTAGCAGGCCCTCTTTTCTTTGTTGCTGCAGTGGGTTTGGCTGCCTTCGCATTCTGTCACTTTTCTTCCTCCCTTCTTTTGCTCTTCTGGTGCGGTCACCACTTCTAGTTCAAAATCTTCATCACTGATGTCATTGTCGTCCGAAATCTCTGTGAGGGTTGACAAAGGCTTCTTCTGTGCAGCAGCCCTTCTGCTGATTTCTTTCTTCCTGTCCTGCACTTGAGGCACTTCGGTTTCCATGGCTATAGAGGAATAAATTAAAAGTTAAAGAACACAAACAATGACTCCCTTTCCTTCTATAATGTAATATTCCACAATATTCACAAACATCTGAAAAGAAAAGTCCAATTACTATCTTTAAGGATAATTTTTGAAGTTCCTCCAATGGACTCCTAAATTCCAACTTCCAAATTACTCAAAGGAATACAGTTACTGAATTTGATATAATTGGAATACCGTAACAGAGAACACAGAAATTAACCGCAAATGGCAGCAGATAAGGCTTTACCTTCTGAGTGATCAGGGGAAGAGTGGAGGTTGTAAGCAGCAAGTCGTTCTTTTAGCTCAAGTATTTCATCATCGTCATCTTCAGGAACCACCAAAGAAGATTTTCCCTGTTGAAGTAAATTTACAGTTGTCAAAGAAAAACTTAATGTGAGAGAAAATGAAATCGATGAAGAAATCTAGCAATTAAGACCTTTTTAACAGGAGCTTTCTTTGAACCTGGTTTGCCTTTAGGTTTCACCACCTCAGGAACAATATCTGATGAAAAACCAGCAATTGACAAAGCCCAGAGCAAAAACAAAAACTTGCACTAATAGAACAATATGGGAACCGGACTTACCAGTTTCGATTACAGATGTAGCTAATGTTTTTGATGGTTCAGAAATGGATTCTGGATGGCTACCCTTCTTAGTATTCTTCCGTGGATTTTTTGGTGCTTGTTTTGAGGCTTTAAGACCAGCTTCAGTCATCACCTTGCTTTTCATTGCCTTTCTAGCCACCTCTGCCTGGACATCACTCTTGTCTTGCTCCTGAATCATATGCACACAAATTCAGAACGATACCAGCATGACTCAAAAGCGTTAATAAAAGCCAAGCATTGAATTCATACATCAAGCTCTCTTTCAAGAGCATCAAGATCTTTCGTCCACATAGATTTTGGAGTTGCCTTTCTCAAATCATCAACCTCTTCGTTGAGCTTATCTCTATCAGCACATAGCTCCTGAACCTTCTCAAGTGTCAAGGTCCCAATTGCCATTGACAACAAGTACTCATAATCACTCGCGTGTACACCTTTGCTGGTTACTGTCTCAGAATTCTCCTTAAGTTCTTCTACATCATCAGTTGCCCCAGCAACCACACCTTGCACAGTTTTGGTTTTTTGGGGGAAAGGAGTGAAACCTTTTTCCTTCAATTCAACAAACAAATCTGCTCTCTTCCTGTCGCTCACAATGATCTTGCCTTCCAAAACCCCCAGAATAAACCTAACCTTGTTGTCAAGTTTCAACAGCTCCATTTCGAGATTGTCCTGCAGAACTTTCTGCATATTGTTAAAATACAGTTGGTGGTCATGTCTTACAATGAAATAATCAAGAAATCAGAACATCTGCAATCTAATATTTCTGTTTGACCAACTTGCCTTTCTTTCCTCATAAAACTCCAGCCTTATATGAAAGAATTCGTCAAGAACTGCCAAAAAGGAATTGATGGAAATTATAGCAAAATTTTCCTAAATCATGGATTAATATGAAAATTTTTCAAAATCAGCACATACTTTGTTCAGGCGTGTCAAATTTCTTTATTACACCTTCTGGAGTCGAAGAGGTGCATATTACTTGTGCTTATAGTAGTGGTTAGCTTGAATTTCTTCAGCAACCCCTCTTGCTTGGCCAAGATCAAGTTCTCCTCAAACAATATAACTTCGAAATGTACAGTATTTTCATCATTATGCTCCCTATAGTCCTGCAAAAATGTATACTCAGCTATGAGAACTTGAATTCTTCAATATATTCAAGATAATATTAACATCAATTATGAAGAAACTAAATTACCGATGGAAAATTATGAAGATATCCAATTTACCTTGATAAATGGATCCTTTATCTTATCATTCCCGGTCATGATTGATTCCAGAAATTCCTTGTAATCTTGAGTCCACTTGCGGATTGGTAGCTCTGTAATCCTGAGTGTAGTTTCATTGACTTCCTCTATAACTCCACAGATAGTGTAACTAACCCCGCCNTCCTTGTAATCTTGAGTCCACTTGCGGATTGGTAGCTCTGTAATCCTGAGTGTAGTTTCATTGACTTCCTCTATAACTCCACAGATAGTGTAACTAACCCCGCCTTCTTTTGCTGATGGTTTCTCAATGTGTCCTCTGAATCCTTTGTACCATGGATCCATAGGCTCCATTGGCTAATCATTTAACAAACGCCTCACATTAGCAACTATTTCCCTTGGGTTATAATTTGGGATGTATGAACTCCCATCCTGTCCCTATTCCTTCACTTCCATTGACTAGGACCATTGGTATAATTGGCATATACTTGATACAGTAAATGAATCAGCGTTACTGTCAGAATTTTGTTCGAGATTTACCTGATTATGCTGCGTAAGTAGTAAATCTTACCAAGTAGGTTCAATAGATTGCCCGTCCTCATTCAGGTAGTCAAGAAGGATGTCATCGTCCTAGGGAAACAGGAATTGGGGGATAGGTGAGAGCCGAGTGTATACATACCTAGCACTTGCGTTATCTTTACCTCCCTGAATAAAAGTTTCATACATTTCATGACAAACTATGAAAGTGCAAGTATAATGAATGAAGAAAAATGTAACCTTTTATTCCTCACACCTGGTGACGGGTGCCAAATTGACCATTTGGTTGAAGAAGGTTTATGTGGTTGCTGCCAACAAAATCTTGAGCCATGCCAATAATGGTACTGGCAAGACTCTGCTCACCATGATGGTAAGCCGAGTGCTCAGACACATAACCGGAGAACTGGGCAACTTTTGCTTCTTTCACAAAGTTCCTCTTGAAAGAACAGAAAAGAATTTTTCTTTGACCTGGTTTCAGTCCATCAACCATTGACGGAATTGACCTCTGAAGATCTGCCATTGAAAACAGTATAAGCTCCTTGTTGACAAAGTCACTGTACTTAATTAGCTTCTCCTTCTGATCAAGGTAAGTACCAGGCTGAAAAACATGAGGAAAGAATTATTAGATACGTTACCCTCTTCAACTTAAAAACTCTGAAAAAAATTGCACAAATGTCAACCTCAAACTTTCTAAGCCAACTCTTCCTTGCTTCAATCTTCTTCTTACTAAAGGCAAGCTGAATTGCATCACCATCTTGCTCATCAACCCAGACAAAATCTTTTTTGTGCTTTCCAAGATCATTGAAGTATTCCTTTCCTTCTTTTGATGTGCTTGTTCCCAACCCCTGCCAGGCAGCAAAATGATTATAACAGTCAAGTCTGATGTACCCCGACTACTCTAATTGGTTCACAGCACATAAATTGATTAAACAAACCTTATACTATTTAATAGACCAACCATTTGCATTGCCCCCTAGGCTTTCCTTCCATGATTCATACTCAGGCATGGAATAGAAGGATCATATGTTTCCATTTCTGTGAGTAGCCTGTACAACCATGAATCGAAAATTTTAAAATTTCCTTGACAGATTTCTTCCAATAAGATTACCATTCACCAAGGCTGGACTCAATCTTGAACTAAAACAAATCTTCACGATTAGCGTAATGAACTCCACTAAGAAAGATGGAACTTTCAGCAATGATGGCCAGAAAGAATGAATGAAATTAATCAATAATCCTTTGATGTGAGAGCCATCGTGATCCTGCACAGGTAATAAGACCTTTGTCAAAAACTTCTTCTGCCTACCAAGTAATTAGTAAGAAACACAAATCTATCCAAGGGTGGAAGAAAATGAAAGCAAATAACCTGATCAGTCATTATCATCAAGGGACCATATCTCAATGACTTGACACTGTCATACTCTTTTCCATGCTGGAGTCCAAGAATCTGTTTGACGTTTTGAATTTCTGCATTCTCCATGATCTGTTTATGGTTTGCTTCCCAGACATTCAGCAATTTACCTCTCAAAGGAAATACACCATAATAGTTTTGACCCATGACAGAAATTCCAGCCATCTGCATAAATTTAACTTAATTTTCATCCAAATACAGACCCCACAGGTAACTAGTTGAGTGAAAAGCATTGATGAGATACCGCAAAAGCCTTGGCCGAATCTCCTTCTGTCAGGATCAAAGTACATTTATCAGAATTTTTCCCTCCAGCATCATTTGCATCTTCTAGCTTAGTAATTCCAGTGATCCTCTGCCTCTTTGTTCCATCAGTTTTCTTAAGGTCCTTGCACTGCTTAAAGTCTGCCCATGAGAGCAGATTTTCCACCACACCAGACTTGGCCACTGCAACAATAATTAACCAACAATAATCACTTTTTGATCTCATACAAGGCATAAATTAATGCGTTCTTGGATAAATAATAAGCTGATAACAGCAAGAATGAAACCTTTTTTCAGAAATTCTTGCAAGAGTTCACATTTAGAACCGAACCTGCTCTGACGAAGTGTCAAAGTCTTCTTGGTTTGAGAATCAAAAGCTGGGTTGTCAGTAAGAGCATTGACAAATACCCATAAATAGTTCTTCACTGTATGGGCTTTAAGGTTGGCATTTTTGTTCTTCTTATTTACGATAGTCATAACATGATTCGTTATCTGATTAATAATGTAATCAACATGAATCCCGCCCTTGATTGTTGCAATTCCATTTACAAAGCTGACCTGGAACNATAGTCATAACATGATTCGTTATCTGATTAATAATGTAATCAACATGAATCCCGCCCTTGATTGCTGCAATTCCATTTACAAAGCTGACCTGGAACAACCAATAACCAATTGTAATAAAACATGCAGATTTTAGAACTAGATAATATTCGGCTAGTCCTTATTTGCTCCACAAATATTGAGATTCAGTTTTGATTCCAGTACCTGTTGAAACTGTCCTTCACTTAGACTAACGCAGATCTCCCATCTGTCATTAACTTTTTCCACAATCCTATATATTATTGATTCTGATTAGCAACCCTTATTAAAGCTAAAATAAAAATGAAGCATCAATAAAAAAATTCATAGAGGGAACCTTGGGAGGGAATCTGGTCTGTTCTTGGAGACAGATTGTAAATAAAGATTGACATAGTCAAGGAAAGATTTCACAGGAACACGTTGGCCATTTAATTCAACCTTCACTGTCTTTCCAAAGGCACTCTGCTAAGTCAATCACCCGCTTTTTCATCAAGGCGACAACATCATTTTCTAGATGATGNGCTAAGTCAATCACCCGCTTTTTCATCAAGACGACAACATCATTTTCTAGATGAGTCATGTTGAATTTGATGAGTCATGTTGAATTTCGCCAAGTCAGGCCTAAATGAAACCTTCGTCCAGTTCTCACCATCTTTGCACTTTGTTATGATGGGCTCAGATTCTTTCCCATGTTAGAGAAAACCTTCAAAACAGAAAAACAAATAGATACAAAGCAGTACAGCGAGTATGCACATCACAAGTTATGTAAGGAAATTTTACGAGCAAAACAATAAGACACTTAAAATTCAGATGTTAATTAATGACTAAAATTTGGAATAATGACCAAAAACTGAAATCTTTTGATCTAAATCTAGTGCAACTGAAGAAAGCTGAAGGACTACAAATTTCTTCTCTGTCTTTGCTATGATACCTCGGTGAACAAAACAGAAAAACCAATTCAACTGACAGAGGGTCACAGCTGAGGCAAGCAAAGAAGTGGCCTCATCATAATTTTTAGGTGGAAATGGAATAATCAGAAAAACTGAATTCAATCAATCGGCAACAGGAACATAAATCATAAAAGTAACAAGTGAGCTAAATCAGAGTGAATGTTAAAATTCTATATGAGCATGTCACAAAGAAGAAAGAAATCACACATCCTGAACTCATCATTAGAGCCCAGAGGAACTGTATATTAGATGCCAGAAATCAAGAAGCCAATTATTGAACCAAGATCTTCATAAAACCCTCAATACAAATAAGCACAAACCACAATTGAATCACCCTGAAATAGACAACTTTTGGCAAATGGCAGAGGGTAACCTCAAGAAACCCTAACCAGGAATTGACAATTGGTTGCACAATTCAAGAAGCAAGTATCTAAACCCATTTCTAAATTCAAGAACAATGATTAGGAATCACCTTCACAATTACAAAACCCTGCCCAAGAATTTAGAATCAAGACCAAAAATCAACAAAAAAAAACCAATTCAAACTATGGAACCCTGACTCATTATAGCCCATAAACACAAAAATCTCATGCAACCCTGATCGAAAATTTGAGACCAAACTTCAAGAAAACTCAGAAATCAAGAACCAAAATCTCTATACCTGCTTGTACTTCTTCTGCCGCTTCCCATCTACGGTCTCGATCACAAACTCCGCGGAGAAAATATTCGTAAGCTTCGCCCCATAGCCATTCCTCCCACCGCTGGTCTTCTTCTCCGAATCATTGTAGTTACTACTTGTCAACAAGTGCCCAAAAATCAATTCCGGCACATATACCTTCTCTTCTTGATGAATCTCCACCGGAACCCCATCACCATTATTATAAACACTTGTAAAATTCTGCTCAACGTCGATCACAACCTTCATGGAGTCCATTGATGTGTCTCTCTGCTTGTTATCGGCCGCATTGACAAGGATTTCGTCGAAGATCTTGTAGAGGCCGGGCACGTATGAAATTGGGCGATGGACCATTTCATTGTTCTCATAGACCCAAAGGGATTGTGAGTGTTTTTCAATGGAGCCAATGTAGGTGTCGGGTCGGAGAAGGATGTGCTCTAGCTGGGTTTTTTTCTGGTAGGTTTCTTCGATGGTTTTTCCGGTGGTGGAGATATTGGCGTTGTTGCTGGTTTGCAACGGGAGTTTCATGTCAATGGTCATCGTGGGTTGACAGAGAGAGAGAGAGAAACACAGAGATAGTGTATGTAGATTCTAGAGAGAGAGAGAGCCCGCGTAAAGTGTTCAATGGGCGGGATAGAGCTGGGGAGTGAAGGGTTGTGTGTATAAGGGCGGGAAAGGCGGTGAGGGTTAACGGTCGAGTTGGGTTTTCGGAGTTTGAATTTGAATTTTGACCGGTGTTTGCAATGTAGAGAGAGGATTGGGGGCGTGGAGGGATCGACGGTGGTGATTTGTTGTTGGTCAGGTGGGTGGAGGAGGTAGAACGTGGGTTTGGGAGTAAATATTCGATTTAATAGATACCCGAAGGCACGTAATATAAATTAATTAATTAATTTTGAAAAAAAAAATTAATTTGCTTTAATTAAAAAATTTGAAATCCATATAGTCTCCAAATATTTTTTGGGGAAAATTTTCGAAACTAAGAGTTTAGGTAAATCTCAATTTGTCTATAAAATTTAAAGTCTCTTGAATGCACAATACAATTAAACCTAAAATTCACAGTTCATAATTATACATAATAATAATCATAGTTCATGATCAAAATTCTCCCAAAAATCATAATTTTGAACCCAACTATCAAAATAACCATCAATTTCAATCAAAATAAACTAATCACCACATGTGATTGGTTCACTTTACTAAACTCGATGCAGATACAACGAATACGTAAAGAGAAAACTATCATCAAGAAACGCAAAAAAAAAACTAAGACAAACAACCACGGCTTGAAAACACTTTGTAACCCATGAAAATATGATTAATTTGATGTAAATTATTTTTTATTTCATTTAATTAAATAAATTTAAATCAATCTAGTATATTTTTTTTTGTCACATAAATCAATCAATCTAGTAATAATCCAATATTTTTCAAAATTTCGACATAGTCTCCTTTGAAAATAGGAGAATGAAAATATCAATATGTATACAAAATTGAAAAACAAACAAAATAATTTTCCAAAATCAGCGATTCATACCCAACAATCAACAATTTCATATCAAGCCAAACGTATTCCCATAAATGTGAAATTAGTTCACCATACTAAATACAAAATAAACGAAAAGTTAAGCAAATTCGATTAAATTGATATATGTTATTTTTTATATCATTTAATCAAAGGAAGTTGAATCATTATAATAATAATTCGTTATCTTTACAAAAAATTGCCATTATTTTCTTTGAAAATAGATGACCATGAAAATATAAACATGTATACATAATTGAAAAAAAATAAAATAATCCCCCAAAATCAATGATTCATACCTAACAATCAAAACAACCATCAATTTCACGTCAAACCAAATATCTATAATATGAACGTGTAATTAATTCACCATACTAAACATAGAACAAACAAAAATCCATTCAAATCTGGTTAATTTTATGTAAATTATTGTTTATTTCATTTAATTAAAAAAAGTATTGGGTTATTACTAGTATTGCGTTATGTGGTGTCATCATCTAGTATGAAGCTTACAAGTAAAAAAATAACATATCAAGTTTTAGGCCTGGAAGCGTAGGGACATTCCTTCTTTGATTTTCAGTAAATTTTTTGAAAAGAAACAATTTTATTCAATTCGGTTTCAAACAACTTGTTGGTTGTATAATAGTTCGTTCTGCACCGCCAATGCCCTAAAATCAAAGGCGCAAAACTTAAAGTTCTCAAAAAATATATTCATTTATTAACAAAAGATTTTATAATAGTAAAGTAAGATGAAATAAATCTATTCTAAACGAATATGAAACTAATAGGATTGACCGACAAAAATAATAAAATAGATTAGAATAGCGTCAATCACAAATGATTTTTATTTTAACCGGGCTTGATTGGTATTTTAAGAAAAATATTTATTGTTTTATTACTTCATTAAGAAAGGGTTAGAATTGTTGTAGAATTAAATATGATTTTCAATTTTTAGGGGAAATATGTGTGATAAATTTAGCAAATGTACCATATGAGTCGATTGACATCTCAAAATATTATCACTAACAATTAAGAAATTTTGGGAAAAAAAAAAAAAGGAAAAGAAAAATGCAAGTGGAGAAAAAGACAATGCGATCTAGATTTTATTAACTAGAGAAAACGACCGGTAAAAGGGACAAGCCTATCCTATATCCTATATAAAACAAAAAATCAAGTGAAATAAATATAAAAAGAAAAGTTCTTCAAAATCAGGAAATAATATTGATTGTCGTGATAACGTCGTCACGATGATATGATGTAATCATATAACTGGGTAAGTGAATTCAATTGAATAACAACCTTTCATGCAATACAATAATTATCTATTTATAAAAATAAGTACACTTTGTCTACATGATTTTTTTTTTAATTGTATAGTGGAATCTTATAGTGTTGATGGTGTGATTACTATAGAGATGAAAACCAATCAAGAATATGAATCATTAAAAGAAAATACTAATTAAACCGGTCACAAGAATATCGGTTATAGTATTTGTTATCCAAAGAGAAATTCCATCTAAACGTCTTGATTAATGAGTGGGGTAAGTGGGTTAAGTGCATTTCTCTCCCAAGATTCCCGAAAGATATATAAAGATGTAAAACCCTATTTACTTGAGAGTTAAGTCGGAAAACATTACTGTCAAATATATAGTGTATACTTCCAAAAATACAAAACGACAAAGAAGAAAAAACGACATCGTGTGACCATACACTAGTGCATCACGTGTCAAACCCACAACGGTCACCTGATTCCCACGTGATAGTCAATTGCTCATCCATACAAAATGTCAATGTCGACACGTAAGTTTCGAGAATAGAAAAGAACAAATTAATAAACGGATCATTGTACAATTTTTCAATTCTCCCGATTTTTTTTTATGTAATTTCTTATCTTATCAATTGGAATATGGAATAAAAATTATAAAGTGATAAAACAACTTATTTAGAGTGATTCAAAGAAATTGATTTTACGAGCATTTTTTTCGATTTTTTTGAGTTTTGTCGAAAATTTCACATAACTTTTTTATTCATTACATTCATAAAATATTATTAGTGAAAGAACAAAAATTGAGATTCATATTTGGAGAACTATTATGCATAATCTATACATACATATAATTATTTTTATTTTGACACAAAAAACTAAAAAATCCAAAAAAATTAGAAAGTAGTCTAAAATAACTTTTCTAAAATTTTCAACATTTCAAAGAGCACTCCAAATGATTGAGAGATTTTTTTAATTCTGATTTTTTACGAAAATTTTCAACCGCAACGTTTTACCTAAAAAAGTCAATTTGAAATAGACTCATTGTATATAAGGGGGTCTACTTATTTATGAACGTTGGATCATTTATTAAAAAAAGAATTAAAAAAAAATATTCGAATAGAAAGAAATTTGGAAGAATAAATATTTAATGTAACAATTACACCGTAACATTAATATCACGTATTATAATCGTTAAATAAAAAAAGTATAAAATAAATACAATGGACTCCAGCAACACGAAGTACTGTAGTACCCAGTACCAANCCATAATATTAATATCACGTGGTATAATCGTTAAATAAAAAAAGTACAAAATAAATACAATGGACCCCAGCAACACGAAGTACTGTAGTACCCGGTACCATATTTTGTCGGGGATATGGATCCATCCCCGTGGCAAGTGGATAAACCCATAAAACACACGCTAGCGAACACCACCACACAACCGAACAGAAACGCAAATACCTACACACTCCTCAACCACAACAACCAGAGAAAAAAAAAATCAAACACGATGACCACGCCTATCTTCTTCTCAAAACCGCCATTAATCTCTCACCAGAGCTCTCAATTCCTCACCATTTCCACTCCAAATCTCCCCTCTTTCCTCATTTCTCGTCCATCGATCAATTTTCAGAGGAAAAATGCAACCTCAGATTCCACCACAATCATAGACACTCCCTCCGTATCTTTATACTCCGAAGACGACGATAAAGCAGCGGTTGAGGCCAAAATTGGGTCTAGGGTTAGGGTTAAAGTGCCATTAAAGGTGTATCATGTGCCCAAAGTTCCTGAATTTGAGCTGACTGGAATGATTGGGGTGTTGAAACAATATGTTGGGGTTTGGAAGGGGAAGAGAATTTCAGCGAATTTTCCGTATAAGATTGAGTTTGTGACGGAGATTGAAGGGCGTAAAGGTCCGGTCAAGTTCTTCGCGCATCTGAGAGAAGATGAGTTCGAGTATGTTTGATCTCATTAATGACAGATAGGCTTTTTTTGGATTTAAGTCTCTGTTGATCTTAATTGGTCTATTGATACATATACTTTGAATGCCATGCCACTGAATATAATAAGTTTGTTTTGTACAAAGCTTTATATTGGTGAGTCGTAGATAATTTACCTAATTTGTTAGTTAAGTTGAAATTTTTGGCTTCGAGATGATGGAATTTATTTCTTCCAGTGAAAAGTTACTCATGAATGTGTTGGCTTAGAGGGAGATTAGGTTTGTTGGCTGGGTAACGTTATACCGTATATGTAATAGATGTGATTAGGAGGGACATTGATCCGTTAGGTCTCGACTCTTGGGGTACTGGGAGGGAGGGATGGATGGATTGGAAACACACATGGCCTTTGGGATTCTTTGCACAAAGTGGCTACTTTAGATTGGAACTCATACGGTTGTTAGTCTGAGCATTTTACCTTTGCAGCAGGCAATGGCCCTTGGTTAATGCATTCAACTCAAATTTATATGTCTTGGATTGTTGTTCAGTCCAGTGTATTCCAATTTCTAAGATAAACCTGGTGTCACTCTAGTTGGATCATTGTCCCTGCATAACAATGATAGAACAAAGGGTTTTTTTAAGTTTGTACCTTTGTGATAGAGCAGTATCTAGTATATCAGATGANCAAAGAAGTTTTGTATTGGAGAGTGGATACAAAATTCTTCACCATTCTTTTTTTCAATAGTAATAGATTACAAATAATTTCGAATTTATTATTTTTGGGAGTTAGATGAGTAATTGGGAGGAGCAATAAGTTGCATCAATCTCAAATGATTTAAATTCAATTATAAATAATAATAAATAAATCGATGCAAACATGACGATGCATAATTTAAAGTTATAAATAAATCAAATATAAATAAAATAAATATTATTTTTATTTAATTTTAAACATTATATAAATATAACATGACATGATGACACTATCTATTACGAAAAAAAACAAAGGATAATGTTAGGATATCGAAAGTTTTATATTGGGTAAGTATCATATCGATAGTTAACTTTTGAGTATTGTACCAAAAAATGAATTTAAATCATAGATCTTAATTTAAGTTATTTGTAATCGCCGATCATTGAAATAATAAAATAAAATAAAATAATATTATTACTCATATAATTAATATTTATACTATTAATAAAAAGACAAGGGTGTGGTTTTGCATCTTCTAAGTTATTAATAGATGTTTATAGTTAATTGCAAGTCTATTATTAATATTTTATATATTTTTTCATTTAATAACCTGTAATTTCTCATCTACTACATTTAAACACTTAAATTAATTTTTTTATTTTTTATTTTTTATTTTTATACAAGAAAAAAATAGGAATTCGGTACAAAAATCTAACATAAAAACAAAATAAAATACAAAACAAAACTTCCCTTTGTGATGAGTTCGTCACGTGTCAACGCCATCCCAGTCACGTGACCCCTCATGCTTGGCAATTCCTCAACCATATAAAACCCACACCAGCCACAATCACAGGAAAAAGGCCAAAATAAAAAATAAAAAAATAAAAATAGTCATGTTCTGCACAAAAACCACCATGACATCTCCGATCTTCTTCTCCGCACCGCTACCACTCCGCCACCACCATCACCGCCTCACCATCTCCACCCCAAATCCACCTTNGCAACTTAAAATAAACTAAATTTGATACCTGAATATTTAGTTTGATAACCTGCTACTGATTCTTCTCGAGCTTGTACATTATTTTTCATAAGATATCAATTTTAGCCCTAAAATATAAGGAACTGAAAAGGCCGAGACTCTAAACTCTTGAAGAAGATGCTGGGAGGGGTGGACTTGCATATCCTTCACATTTGGTATTGTGTGTACGAATTGGTTGCATTCAGATTTGTACCCACAACCTTATGGTTGTTTGGCCAAGCTGTTTACTATTGCACTATGCAATGGCCCATAGTTAATGTCAGTGATATGTTTGGATTAATTATCTTGAATTTTGTTAACTCAGCTGCATTCCAGATCCCATGATAAACCTGATCATCATTCAAGAATTTGACGAGAGCTTTACACATTTTATTTAATGGTAAAATTTCAGTAGAAGACAAGATTTTTTTTAGCTCCCTTCTTTTTTGCAAGCATAAGCAACTGACATGTAGCCGACCCCAAAAACGTTGGTACAAGGTTTTGTTGAGTTGAGTTGAGAATAAGCAATTGACATGTACTTCTCCGTGAACTAAGACTTAAACCTTTCGACTCCCTCTTTTGGGGTTGCAAGGGATTCCACTCAATCTAACATTTGGGCGTATGAAGGATTTACCTTTTGATGTATCTAGCAATGGGCTAAATATGTAGTGTAAGGTGATACCGTGTCATGATTGATACGTGGTATCACTGTCATGTGTATCAGTGTCTTACAATAAGATCCATATATGTGCACGAAGTAGTTATGAATTGTATCATACGTTTAAGCATCCGTTTTCGATATTTTTGGGAGCTCTTGATGTATAGAAGTTTAATATGTTGATATTGGTGAAGAGTCCACTGCTCAATATTTACTTTCTGTTGGTCAATTTTTGCACCCTTGTTGCTTTTGTTTCTCCATACTAGATCATGGGGAGAGGAAATGCTAAGAGTTTGATAGTTAAACTACCAATTGGAGAGGTCAGTAAGATAATGATTGTGTAGTTGGTTCATTTTTGCATGATGATTGCTCTCGAACCAACCCTCCCGGTTCGTTCCTTCGGAACCTGTGTGTCTTTACCAACTCGGTGTGCTTGGTGAGCGCTCATGAGTGTTTATACATGTACCTGTCTCGAAAACAGTTGGCTATGTATTCTTCACCCTTATTGTTTATGAACACAATTCACCACCTCATTGACAGCATTGTGGATGATTGAGGGTTGAAGTGTATGTTCAATCTCAGTATGGTAAGTTGAGTATTGGGTGCTCATCCGTATAATTTCAAGGATACCGAGCACTTAGCAGTCTGAGCTGAATCGGTAAGCTGAAGCATTAGGGGTTTTTGGATGCATTCAAGGAGTCGATGATTATACTGCCCAGTTTAGTGTGCTTTTTTTTCTTTGAATTGTGAATAACCGGCTCCAATTTTTGACTCCTTTCGCAAGATTAGATACCACTAACGTGTTCTAATACATTTCAGGTTCAATGAATAATGGTGATAACCGGTTCCAATTTTGACGGGCTGTCGCCTTTTATATATTCTAAGAACTTGGACTTGTTTGATTATCGTGTTGTAAATGAATAGATTGTATTAAGTAATATATGCTAATTCATCCACAAAGAGAGAGAGAGAGAAGGGGGGAACCCGATTGAAAGTTGCCATTCGTGACAGACAACACATATTGGTCCTCAGGTCGTGGTTAGAACTCTAAATTTTTTTGAATTTCTAGTTAGTATCTAATCGATAAAACTATGACCCAAAAAAAAGAAGAAAAGAAAAAATATTCATAGTTCAAGCATGACAAAATGTATTTACTTTAAAGGTTAAATTATTATATATTGTAACAATTAAGCCAGTTTTCGTGTAGTATTAACAAGATATGGACAATAAATAATTTTTATTGCTTTATTTCGATTCAATCATAGGTAAGGGCGGTATTCTTTCAAATTCTCAAAAATTGTCTATCGTTAATTAGTTTTTAGCTAAATTTCTCACGTCTTTTTTTTAATGTACACGGTCACTGAGTCCGTGATAAAATTAATTTTTTTTTTGGTGAAGCTTAGTTTAGATCATCCTCCATTTTACTTAGAGAAATTGACTTTGAGTAATAATAAAAATTATTTTTGATTTAGGTCATTTTTCAGATCTTGTAATTCCTCTCACTGGTGTCGTCTGAAATAGTTTGCTATTTCCTTACTAATTGTTTTTGAGCAATCCTTAATAATTGTTGGGCATTAACTAATCCATGGAAGAATTGACTTCTGTGTGGGTGACTATTTAATTTTGCGGGTATCACTTGTTCATTTGTTTGTAGACAGGTACACTACATGACATC